CAAAAGATTATGTAAACTAGGTTACATAAATTAAGTAGTTTATTTTAGGCATTAAAAAATTCAAAAACTAGAAGAAACACTATTAGTGAATGAAAATGCATCACAAAAAACACTTTTATGGTAAGGAAAAGAATTTACAATATATTTCAAGATACTAAAAAATTTTGGTATTATCACAGGAATCCTTGTTGAAATGTTAATAAAATATAAAAATTTTATTGTACTTAAAAAATTGTTTTTTTTAATACACGTTAAAATTTATATCTCTTTCACCCTTACACAGATCACCGGATTATTAAATTTATTAAAGTTATCTTTATCCTCTATAAAAAAATCAACTTATGTTAAGCTCTAATAAAAAAAATAAACATAATGTTTTCTAAATTATTTCTACTGATTTAACTTCAAAGATACAATAGTTGTAAAAGTTATTATTAGTAACAAGTTTGAATCAGATGAAGCTGAATTATTATCATTATCGTCTTCTGTTTGACTACTTGTCACATTTTTAATCCAGTCCAAGTATTCATAAGTTCTTGTAAACCCGGACGGATAATTATTTTCACATTCCCTTCCATAAAAACTTGCCACAGCTACATGAACATAGTTTCCGTCAGCGTCGGTTTGGACCAATCCACCTCCACTGTCACCCTTTAAATAAAAAAATTGATTATGAAGCAAATTAACTCACTCTGACATACGCGACAAATTCCGTGATTTCCTTGACCACTAGCACAAACCATGGTATCTCTAATTATGGATCCATACACTCTCATACATGCGGTGTTAGAAATTGTGGTCAACGCAACATGAGAAAGTATATTTGAAGGTATCGGTAAAGGATCGGCTAGAAACTTGAATATTTTTTAAATTAAAACACATTTCACTTTTTTACCATCTTTTGTTGCTCCCCAGCCAACAACAATGGCATTTTCACCGGTATTGAGTGTTTTTGAAGGTAACTGAATTGATTGAATACGATCTAAAATGATAAATCATTAGTAACTATCAGATTTGAAACAAAGTCAACCATTAAATGTAACCAATTTTGGTAACTGAATAAGTCCCAAATTGTTTGCAAGAGTGACACTATTATATTCTGGATGTGCTATGTAAGTTGTGGCGTTTATTACCATCCCTTTGGAACCAAGATTTTGCAAGTCATTTGTACCTAAATAAATGCTAAACGACTCTGATCTGAAAGGAAAAGTAATGATTGTAATTGAAACTTTTTGGTACTTACTCATAGACACAATGGGCAGCTGTTAAAATCCATCTCTCGTTTATGAGAGAACCACCGCACTGATTTGTAACACCTGCTTTTTGATAGAAGAAAGCAACAGCAAAGGAAAACTGACCCTCCAAAGATATTTCTCCTTCTACAATACGAGCATTGCGAACATCAGCTAAAAGTGAGTTCACTTAAATTAAGTTTAGAATAATTTATAACAATTACCGCTAGTTGCCAAAAGGCAAAAACACAAAATTAACGCTGTTTTAATTGATTTCATGATAATTGTGGTGTGTTTTAAAATTTGGTTGTCTTTATACATTTTTCTTATCTTTGTTGTTTTATTGATTTATTAGTGATTTTGTGGTGGAGACTTATTCTATTATATTATAAATTAAATTTAAAACTAACTGAACTAAACAAATAAAAGAAGATTCAAAAAACTAAAATTTTTGAAGTAAGAAGAAAAATAACGAACATTTTAACCTAAAGCTCTTGCTTTATTCATTAGTGGATAGAGTAAAGTACAAAATTTGATACTTTTATTTTTTTTAAAATGTTTTTTTTTTCGGCAAAATCTCACATTTACATGTTTTTTTTTTTTGGTTTGAATTTTGAATGTCTGAGAATAAAGGGTTTTTGTTGTTTAAAAATATTTGTTTTTGTTTTCAGTATTTAAGTATTGGGACAATGTCTAAAAATTAGTTTATTATTTAGTTATTTGACGACTTCCGACGAAGATAAAGGATAAGATAAGACAATAATTGTAAAATGTTTCTAGGATATGAGATATTTTACAATAAACACAAACATAAATTTGCCGCCATGAAATTACTCTTTTTGTTAATTTGTGTTTCCAAGGTTTGGACTTTACCAAATCTAAAATCGACTGATCTGAAAAGATCAGCTGGTAATATATTTTTTACGTTTTATTTGGTTTTAATTTGTGTTTTTTAGATGTACGAATAATCGGTGGATCAGTGGCTAGAAGAGGCCAATTTCCTTTTGCTGCTGCTATCTATACTTTTACTCAAGATGGAAATTACTTTTGTGGTGGAACTCTCTTAAATGAGCAATGGGTCTTAACAGCAGGGCAATGCGTTGATGGGTATTTAAAAAAACAACATTTTTTTTTATTTGCTATTAATTTTTAGAGTGCACACTTTTAATATACATCTAGGAGCAACATTCTTGAAAGAAGATGATCCTTACGCTGTTCAAGTTTCTGCAGACACCTATGTTTTGCATCCAGAATATGATCCACAGACCTTAGCTAACGATGTTGGCCTTATTTGGCTCCGTTTACCTGTTGAATTTTCAGGTACCAGAAACCAAAACTACTTCTTTTATTTGAAATTATTTTCACAGATTATTTAAAACCTGTTGACTTTTTGCCTTTTGATGAACTTGGTATATCAAGTTCGGCGATGACTCTGGGATGGGGCCAAATTTCAGACGGTATATGTATACTACCACTGATTTTTATTTTACAAATTAACATTATCAAACTTGGCAGAAGAAGAAGGAACAGTCAATGACCTCCAATGGGTGTATGTCACATCTATGTCTAATGCAGAGTGTAAAATAACATACGGGAATCAAATTTTAGACAATATGGTGTGTGTTGATGGAAATTATAATGAAGGAACTTGTAAAGTACTAGTGGGAAACTTGATTTTGTTCTTTTTTTAAATCCTGTTGTAGGGTGATAGTGGAGGTCCACTTGTACAGTTAATTAGTCGTGGACATTATGTGGTTGCTGGTGTGTCAAGTTTTGTTAGTTGGAATGGATGCGAAAGCACAGATCCATCAGGTTTCACAAGAATATATCCATATAATGACTGGATAAAAAATATTACGGGTAAAGCATAAAAATGTATTTAAAAAAATCAAAACCAAGAATAATAAGAAATAAATATATTATATTAATCTTATTGTAGTTTTTAATATTTTGTAAAGTTGATAGATATAACAATTTTAAAGACTTTAGCCGTTTTTTGCGGTCAGTCTGTTTTACTAGTTAATTGGCGATTTTTTTAAATTAGGGTGGAAAAACTTACTTTCTGTTAGAGTCGTAGGATGATAAACTACTTACAAATTTAATGTTGTCAAACAGATTTTCTTGGCGCATCCACCAACTCTTTACTTTATTTTTCAAACTTAATAATAATTTACATTTTCAAATGGAGCTTTTAATCTTAGAAAAATTATGAATAAATCACTTTTTTTACCGCTAAACTACTCATAATTGTAGTTGATTTTTTTTGTTGTTGTTCTTAAATTATTTATCTTACACTTAAAATGTAATTGTAAAAAAAGATTTTGATGTTTTATTATTAGTTTGAAATGTTTTGTTTTTTATAATATTATTTTTATGTTATTTTTTATACAATTGTGGATTGTTCCATTTCATTTTTTGTGTGTGCTATGTATTGTGTTATAGATTTTTTTTGACTAAGTACGTACTTCAATTACAATGCTATAGATTATCATCACCAAATGAAACATATTTCAAAGATGATGAATGGATTAAATAAGACAATAGAGCTTATTGATTAATCTTAATCATTTTTGACAAGGAATTTTGAGCTGATACTTGTAGTCAGGGCAAAAAAATATGTAGATCTTTAAACCACTCCAAGTTTATGCAAACTTATAATAACATCAGGTTTTTTAATCTTCACAATGTATTTTTTGTATCAATTGTTTAAAACGATAAAAGATGACGCAAAAAATAATCTTTTGATTGATCATTGCATAGTTTAGTTAAAATATGAATATTTGAAATCACTTATGTACACCGGAAATGACCTAATTTTTTTTATTAATAAAAATATAAATAATACATTGAAGAATAATTTACAAATTGTAAGTATAATTTTTTTAAAAAAAGAGTAAAGATGTTGCTTTTTAAATGCAAAAAACGACTATTTAAATATTAGAACCCTTGATACATAAATAAACATTTTAATGCAAAATAATTTTTTACTATTTACTATTCAGCAGTGCCTATTAACTAGGGTAAGAATAAAGTTTTGTTATTTTATTAATAGGTTTATTAATTAATATCAATTACTATGTTATTGTAACTTCTTAAAAGTTTCTAAAAAATATTTTATTACATTGATAATTGCGTTACATTTTTTATCCAGTCGTTGTATGGGAAAATTTTTGTATATCCCGAAGGATCAGTACTTTCACATCCATTTGAACTGAAGAAACTTGCAACTGCGACAACAATAGTGTAACCACTACTAACATGCAAAACAATCGGACTTCCAGTGTCTCCCTAAAAGGCGTTTTTATCAAAATTGCAAAAAGACATAAATTAGATCGTACAAAACATGTTCCTTCATTGTAGTTGCCTTCAAAACAGTTCATATTTTTACCAATTTGCTCTCCATATGTAATTTTACACTCTTCATCAGAAACTTCACTTAAAGTAACGTATTGAAGAGTATTGGAAAGATTAGAATTATCTAAATATACAAAATTTTGTACTGGTTTGTGACTAATGTTTTATAAATTTTACCATCACTGGTTTGTCCCCATCCAAATGCGATACCAACTATATTATTTGATAAATCGGAAAATGGCAAATAGAGTCTTCTAATATAGGCTAAAAATTTAAGATATATATTACAAACCAAGTTATTTACTTTAAAAATTACTTACTGGTAAAAGTTACAGGCATTCTAAGCTTAATAAGCCCGATATCATTTTCTAACGTAGAAGGATTGTAATCGGGATGCAAAACAAAATCGTCGGTTGCTAATTTTTCTACATTGTTACTATCTCCATCTAATTTATGTGTTCCCAAAATAATGGTAAAAGAAGTAGCGCTACAACACAACGATATTAATTTTAACATAATTATTTTTTGATATTGTACCCATCTACGCACTGACCGGCGGTGAGAACCCATTGGTTACTTAGAAGAGATCCAGTACAGAAATATCTACCTTCTGATGTTGTTTTGTAAACAGCTGCCGCATAGGGAAATTCACCAGCATAAGCATTATGTCCACCAATAATGCGCACCTCTAGAATGTTATTTTACTTTTTGAAATATTTATAATTTTTTACCTTTTGGAAATGCACTAATTTGCGAATAAACACCGAACAAAATGACTATGAGTGATTTCATTTTGTCGGTATTGTGTTGTAGTATTGTTTTTTCAATGTAATGTGTTTATATTGTCTTTATTTAATCTTTTAATCATCGACATCTACATTTAACTGATTTGTTACAGTAATTTCAAAAAATTCCATAATCATAGTGATCACTCACTGATCATGGGTTTTAAACCAATTAAAGCATAAAACGTTATAAAATATGCTTAAAAGTAATTTTACAAAATGTGATAAATCCGACGTTAGCGTATTATTATTGTTTAGAAAACAAAAAAAATATAAAAAATCAAAAACTTTTTACAGTAGTTAATTTGCGACTCAAAAACTATTTTTTTTTTAATAATTGAGTTTAGTCTATTTTATTTATTTATTTATTAAATTACATCCCAGTTACATTGTAAATCCATTCGGAGTAGGGATAAACTCTGGTGTATCCCGAAGGATCAGTGCTTTCGCAACCTTTTGCACTTAAGAATGAAGCAACACCGACTTGCATCAAATATCCTCCAATATTTTGCACCAGAGGACTACCACTATCTCCCTAGAAAAAAAATTGGCATTTAAGAATACAAAATGAATGATAAAAACCTTGCAAGTTCCTTCATTGTAATTGCCTTCGGCACAAACCATATTCTCATAAATGTTATGTCCATAAATCGATTGACATTCTTCATTTGATAAAACCGTCAGGGAAACCCAACGAAGGTCATCAACAACACCAGGAGTTTCTGCAAAATTAAAAAATTAGAACAACTACTTTTTTGATTTTTGTATATATTTATATTTTACCATCATCTGTTTGTCCCCATCCTAAAGCGACGGTGCCTGTGAACGGAACTAAATCACTGTGTGGTAAAAAATCAACAGGTTTGATGTAAGCTAAAACAATGGAGAAAAATCAAACTGTACTTTTAGCAAAGTGTAAATTTTTACTTGTGTACGAGATAGCCATACGAAACTTGATAAGTCCAATGTCATTTTCAAGAGTTAGAGGGTCATATTTAGGATGCAAAACAAAAGTGTCAGTTGAAAGTCTAATTGCATTTTCATCGTTAGCACTCAAACTATTTGAACCCAATCGAATTGTAAATAAACTGGCTCTGAAAACATTACTTTTTATTTCTGAAATTACTTACAAGTTTTATACTCACCCATCGACACACTGACCAGCTGTTAGGATCCATTCATGGTTGAGTAGGGAACCTACACAGAAAAATGTCCCATCGTTGGTTCTCTTATAAATGGCTGCTGCAAAGGGAAATTGACCCGCAAATGCAGTATTACCACCTATAATACGGACCGACTTGGCAAATGTTGGTGATGTTAATAAAGTTGGAAGGAGAAGGAAAAATGTGAAGAAAAGCATTATGGGAAAGGTTATTTTTAAATTTGACTGCTGTAAATCCGACTGCTTTATATAAAAGATTAATTTTTATCTTATATTTTTAAGTAATTTATTGATTTTTGCCCAAAAATTTATTGCAACCTTCGGATTAAATTGTCGCAGTTGTTGATAAGCCACTTTAATCTGAGATTTGCGTCTTTAGTTGTAAGATAATGCCCATTTTGGAAAAACCTACGTTTGATATTTTAAATTAAATTATTGTATACTGATTTTTCATTTATTAAAGCCTGTAAAAGTCAATTTTTCATTTTGTGATAAAACTAGTCATAAACTGATCACACATAAGACCTTTTTATTTTATCAAAAATTAGCAGTTTTGAGATAACAAAAAAATTGTTATTATAAATAGCTGATAATAAAGATCACCCAAAATATTAGTGCGCATTTTTCAAAGTCAGGATGAAACTTGTTTGCACATTGTGTCTATTTCTTTTGTCTGGTTGGACGTCATTAAAAGCGGTATAATTTTTATTACTATTTTTTTCCTTACATTTATTACAAGTTTTTCAGAAACAAATCAAGAGTATCAGCAACAATAATTGGCATGAGTCAGTGAAAATCATTGGGGGAACCACAGCTTTCGCTGGTCAGTTTCCCTTTGCTGTGGCCATTGAAACCACGACTAAAGATGGCAAATATTTTTGCGGTGGTACTTTGATTAGCGACCAATGGATAATCACTGCAGCTCAGTGTGCTGATGGGTAAGTATTATGAAACCAAATTTTTTAAATTATATTTTTTTTACCTAGGGCACTGCTTTTCTCTATTCAAATAGGGGCAACCAGTTTAAGCATCCCTGATGAAAATCGATTAGTTTTGTCAACATCTGAATATGTTCTACACCCTGAATATGACCCTGCAACATTTAAAAACGACCTTGCTCTGATTGAACTGCGAATTCCGATTGAATTTTCAAGTAAGTTAAATATTTATGCAACTGTTTGTTTACTTCTCTACATTTTTCATCAGATTATATTCTTCCTGTTCATAGTCTTCCAGATACTGAATTGGAAGCAGGTGTAAGAGTTGTTGCTGTAGGTTGGGGACAGACTAGCGATGGTAATTTTTCTTTTCCTTAAAATAAGTCTTAATTAAATTGATTAGAGGATGGTGGACTTTCTGATAAACTGCAATTTGTGACGGTTACAAGTTTGACAAATGAAGAATGTCGACTTGTTTACGGTAATCAAATAACTGATAAGATGGTTTGTGTTGAAGGAAATTATAACCAAGGATCTTGTAACGTGAGTTGTTCTTGTTTAAAAACGGGGAGTTAATTTTTATTTTAGGGAGACACTGGTGGTCCCCTTGTTCGGGTTATTTCTCTAGGTAATGCTTTGCTGATAGGAGTTGCAAGTTTTGTGAGTGGAAATGGATGCGAAAGCACTGATCCTTCCGGCTACACCAGAGTTGCTCCTTATGTTGATTGGATAACTAATGTAACTAGTTACAATACTACGAGATTTTAAAAACATTTTAGACAAAATAAGTTTTTTTTGTAAAAATTGTTAAGAATGACCTAATAATAAAAGAGTTGTAAATAAAAAGTTCTGCCGGCTATCCGGATTATGCTGATTCTGCAAAAGTCAAGCATGCGCTAAAGTACTAAACACCCTTAACAAACTGCAGTTTTATTATAATTAGTAGCATTTTTCCCGCGACTTCGTATGCGTGTATTTCTGATATAAAATGGGAAATAATCCGCTCACAAAACAATTCCATAGACTTCTTCTGTTGAGCTGGATACCGATGCTTTGTATGAAATTTAGCTACTGTCTCGTTTTTGCCCAATTAAAAAAAAATTAAACAACAGTTCGTCTCTTGTTGCCGAGTGAATTGGTAAAGCACGCAGTCTCTGAAGGTACAGTCGGTAATTTTGTTCAACACCATCTGAGTCAAAAATATCTATCGATTGGCGCTAAAGCCAAGTCAGTATCTCACGTTTAAAGTTTCACAATTTTGACAATTTTCACTTTTTGAACGGCGATTACGGCCAAACTATTAGACTTAGAGCAATCAGTCCAACTCCATCGTAATCAGCGTAAGAAAATCTATCGACTGAGGCCAAASCCAAGTCGATATCTCGCAAAAAAATTTTGAATTTTTAAACGCCGATTACGGCGAAACTAAAGGAGCTAGCCCAATGTGGTTGGTAAATTCGTAA